TCTCTACAGTCTAATGTTGAGTGCATCACAGACTGGTGTAGTATACATTATTACATGAAGGAGTGGGAGTTTTATTTAAAAGCTTGGTATATGTACAATATTACTTTTAGTAGTGGAGCAAGAAAATAGGCTCTCAGTTCTGTGGAGAGGTAAGTAGTGTCCAAAATATGAGCATTATATGCTTGTGGATATAAGCATACACATGTATAAGAGATTGATTACGCTTCTCCAAGAAACTTTAATCTGATCTTCATCTGTGTCATTTCTTCAGTTTTATTAATTAGTAACTGCTAACCCTCACTCTAAATGAAGAATGAACAGCAAAATTACTATAAAGACAGATTATGTCTAACAATCTTAGTACTTCACTCTTCTCCACTAGCTATTAAACATCAATTACTAGAACATTTTGGCATATTTCTCAGTTTAATTGATGATTCCAGAACACTAATCTACCAACATTGCACCAAGTAATTTATTATTTCGATATATGCCTGAAAATAAAATCCATTTAAGTCAATCTGTAAAAAAAGATACAAATGCAGATTTTGAAAGATCACTGACTAAATGATTTAAGATGCAGTTTCATCTATATGCACTCTTTAAAGTTCCAATTTTTTCTTAAGCTCAGAATTAATGTGATCATCTTCTTCAATCTTGTTTCCATCTAGCAACTGTTCAGGATGAGAAAAATTGGAGAAAATGTAAAATTTAACAAACTAGTCATCCAATTAGCCTTTCCTGTATCATCCATCAAACACCCTACTTCAATCCTATCATTTTGGTTACCCTATAATGTATTTGAAAAAAAATTATTATTATTAATTTTTACACTTTCAGCCAACCTTTTTTACTATACTGTTTTATTTCCTAATTTAATGTCTAATCCACTCTCTTGATCTTCTAGTTTGTAATGACCCCCCCCCCCCCTATCTCAATCACTAGTAGTGTTAGTATGATCTTACTCCAACAAAGTTGTCAATGAAGCAACATAGAGTCTCAGAAGAAAAGGGTAAATAGAATATCAGGCTAAAAAAGGCAGACTGGAGGGGGGGGGGATGTGAAAGTACAAGCAGAAAAAAAAGCTCCAAGCTAGAAGAATATATTCATTGGATAGGAAAAATATAAAAGTGGAAGAAATCAGATGAAGAATTGCCTGAAAGAATCTTCAAATGTGCAACAAACAAGAGAGGAAGGTGAAGAAAAAAAAACATCTTATGAATTTAGAGGTACACAAGAAGCTCACCCAAGAACAAGCAGAAAAAAAAACTGGAGTAAAAGAACAAATGTTACATATGTCAATTATCAGAATAGCAAAGAACAAAGGTTGGCATGGCTGAGATGAATGAACCACATGGTGGTTATAATACTCACTATCCTAATTCAAGTTGTCATTGAAAATAAGACAACTTCTATAAAGGTGTCTGAACCACAAGAGATTTCAGAAACACAGATATGAGAAATCATATGCAACAAGATTCATGAAAGTGAATTCATGCAGAATGTTTTTTGAAGTAGGTCTTGTATTTCATGGTACTTAGGACTTGGTAATTTTGTACTGACAAATATTGTGATTAAGTATTGAAACCCAAACACCAGGTTAATAAAGCTGAAGACTAGTCTTGTCAAAGAAACCATATCACAGACTCAGGAAAATTTGTTACCTGTCTTATTTTCTTCTTCAGCTATTACCTAATTCACTTATATTGATTCTTAGATTTTCTTTATTAGCATACTTACATTTGGACTTGTACTACCTCTGCCTTATTGCAGGGAACTACATTTGACAGTCTTCTTTTAGGCAGAATTCTTGAGGAGTTTCTTTGTCCTAGGGTCGCTTCCTGATCCACTCACAATCTGATACAATGAGCATTAGACTATAGCCCTCCATCAAGGACAACATGCCCTCTATGCACAGTACACCCCTTATAACATATCGAGTATACCAAGACTCATTCATGATAAGGCTAAAAAAGACACACTAGAGATGGGGAGGAAAGGTAGATGATACTGTAGAAAGTTGAGTATCTATCTGAAGTGCATTTCCAGGAAAAGAAAATGTTACCTTAAGAAACAATATTTACCTCTCCACAAAATAAATAGTTAGAATTCCACATGAATAAGATAATAGAGAAACCAGTGTAGATGAGGTAAATAAAAAAATATGAGCTCTTTTCTGAGATTATACCAACAGATATGGAACTTGCAGCATGTTGCCCACTGGAGGGTGGGAATTAGTGGGGCATCACTCAGTAGGAGACATTCTTTTCACATAAGGAATACTCTTCATCCATGGGTTCCCCCTTTACTCCACTAGAAGAAAGCAAGAGGAAGGAATTTGCACAGAGATAAAATTGGAGAGACGAGTGGCCTACTGCATAAGATTCCACACTGATTGACTGTGCAATGGATTACTATGAACAGGAACAGCAGGTGCTAGCCAGTGTGAGGCCAGAATCACAGTTTTTTTAAATGACCATGAAGATAAAATATGTTTAAATATACACTGATAAAGAATCCTTGTGGGAAGCCCCATTTCAATGGCAGGCACTGAGCAACGGGAACATCACAAGTGAGATAACACTGAATTTCCCTAAAAAGGACAAAGGAGATGATTGGGATTGGAATCATACAAAGAAGAAAGATACAATCACCACCTGAACACATTAATTCTTGAGAGGAATGAGCAGTCTGGGAGGAAAATCAATCTGTCCTTTTGGGGAAGAAGGCAGGGGGCACGTCTAAGGCAAAAATATTAAAGTGATGTCCCCAATAAGCAAGAAGAAATATGTCATAAGAGAAAGATGACACAGGAAAGAGGTGGCCAAATGTTTGAATAGAGTACACATATGACAGCTAAAGAGATTCAAGTCTATAACCACAGGAAGGTTTGGAATAGGTCCATAAAAACTGGAGACAAAACAGAATGACCAAGGAAAAGATAGAAGCTTGCAGACAAAACCATGCTATAACTGGCAATTGAAGAAACAGAAGACTGCACTCCAAAGCCAGGCAAAAAAAAAAAGTTAGATGAGGAAAAGTAGGACAATTTGGAAGAAGGGATGGTGACTGGATCAGCACTGATAAATATCCATCCATGTTGATAAGCAGAAAAAAATGGATGTCCAACATCAGTGAGAAAGAAAACAGTTTAATCTGCAATAAAAAACTGCCTATCTTACAAGGGAACAGACAAAAGACACATGTGAAGATGAAAGAGTGGAATATCATGGTGAAAAATGGACTTCTGAAGCTAGTGTGTAAATGGGCCTCTGTAAGGAAGAAATAGAGACCCTAGGAAGTAGTAGAAATCACAATTGAGCTGGCCAACGATGGGCAAAGAGATGAACTGGCAAGTGGTGCTATGAATTAAGGACAGGGCCATGGGAAGAGGATAGGAATACAGAAAGAAGGTAGACCAATCCAGACTCAGAATATTATAAGACCATGATGTCTGGGACTGGTGACCAAAAAAGTGGAAGCTTGGTATAGAAGGGAGTTACAAATGCATTGGAAAAAGGATTCCCAAGGAGGGAACAAATCTATAGCAACCCCAGGAGATAACTCTCTCTAAAGAATTTGGTCAGGAAACAAAAGCTTATTTGCTACCAAATTCAAAACTCTTAGAAAATGGAAAGTCAACAACCAAATATTGCTGTATTGATCCCAAAAATGAAATTCAAGAACAAGAAGCAGAAGTCCCAAGAGTGAGTACCTCCCTGTCAGTTGATGTTGGAAATTACAGTGAAGTTGTCAAAATAGATCACTAACTGCATCTCAAGGACATTGATGTGGGGAAAACTACTCTGCAGTAAATTATTAACATTGAAAGTATCCACAATTGCACCCTACCCAGCATGAACAGGTGGAAGTCTGGGTAAAATTGAGGAAGATGAATGCTCAGAGTCATATGTAATTTTGCACAGTTATGAGAGCAACAGGAAAATGAATAAAGCAAAGAGATTATAAAGTACTCAAATGAATCAGTGTCTGACCAGCCAACTCAAATGAGGAGATTAACAAAGAAAAGGAGGTCACAGTAGATGATACCTCCCAAGATAAGGCTGCAAGTTACCAAGCATCCATATCTTTGTGAAAATGCAAACCCAACAAGTGCAAGGGTTTCCTGCAAAATGTGTCTACAGGTGTACAAATGTAAGAGCCAATCTCCCACAGAATCAAGCTGTGGATTGTTTCCAGAAACAACTGATCACAGGGCCCCCTAAGATGGTTGGCTTCTTAGGAGAGGGAGCTGTTCATGTGAAGAATAAAAATACTTTTCCCATTGTACAAGTTGCATTTTCATAAACTTTAGAGCCTCTGAATGCATGTCTATAGTTTTTTTAATATCCCTGTATAATTCATTTGGTATTTAGTCTTCTCTACCATGAACTATTGCTAAATCAGCAAAGTAAGGTAAAATAGTTGATACATCTCACCATATTGAATGTCACTTTGAAAAAGTCATGGCATATGCACTTCAACCACCACCCATGCCTATAGGATTAATGTAAATAAAAACATTAACATGGTAAATATCTAAGTCGAAACTAAATGAAAACTTTATTAATACATTTCTGTGTTCAATATATACTGCATATGGGGCTATACTGTGTATTTCAAATGTTCTAGAGAAAGAATATTTAAATCATCCTTTTTGTAATATTACCAAACAACATCCATTACCATTCCCCTTGCACTTCTGACTTGTCAGAATTAAAGTTTGGCCAACATAATCAATTCTGGCATATCTTGAGTGTATTTTTTGTGCAACAGTATTGTACATTTTGCTAAAAAAGCTTGCCACATTTTGCATAAAGAAACTTTGTAAATTCAGAATTACTTTACACATTTTTTCTCCAGTATGGGGTTGGACCATTTAATAAACCCTGCACACATTTGGTTAATAAGAAAAAAAGTTTTGTGTACTATTTGAACTTTAGATTTTAATTGTGTTTGGAATAAATTTTAAATAAGAGTTATTGCAGTATAAAATAGTTATTTTCAGAGCCTAAGCAAAACTAATGTAAAGAGGAATTTATGCTGCTAATTGTATATTATTTGCAGGAGTTGATCAGAATGTGTCAGCTATACTAAAGTTTAGTAAGGGGAGGTTGGCAACAATATCTTTTACTTCTAATGTTCAACTGCCATGTGAACTAGAAGTGGTTGGTACTAAAGGCATTCTGAAGGTATGTGTAAATCATATTCTCTAAAACTTATTTATGTAAATTTATTTATTGAGGATATAAAGATCTTTTAGATTATGCATACATAGTTTCAGAATTGCATTTATAAAGAACTCATAATTAGGTTGGTTATTGATGATGAAAGGAATAACAATTTATATACCATACCATCATATTTTAACATAAGAATTTTACATAGAATCGTTTTTCTTTCTACGTGGAACTTGTAAATAATTAACCATATTAAAAATATTTTATTTAGAGTTAAACAGAAAACCAAAGTTAAGTGTTCCAAGTTTTTATACCCAGAGCTGGTGTTCATGTAATTGTTCAGCCAATATAGTATTTTCATGTTTAACAAATCAAATGACTTTCATCTCATTTTCTTTGTGAGTATATACTTTTCATATATGTTACATACACAATAAAGGCATTGGTAGGCACTTGTACATTGCCCATGCTCCGATTCTATTTGACAGCACCCTGAATCCCAAGTTGGTGTCTTCAAAAATAAGAATAGAAAACCAGGGTCTGTATCATACTGAAATACTACAAATTCCTATGCCTGTGGGCCTGAGCTCCAAATCTTTAAGTACTTAGTAATGCTTCTGCACAACAGTTTTACCAGTATTGGTATTACTATTTTGCAGTACACATCAAGATGCCAGTCTTTGTAGACTCTTTAACAAAGAGTTAGGTTTCTAAATGACATATTGAAACTAACATCATAGTATCCAGAAGATGTTAGAGATGATCACATAGTCTCATTCTCCACAATGTTTATAATTATATTCCTGGCATGCTTCTCCTGAATGAAAGACTAGTGCAGGTGAAAATTTAGCAAAGACAAAGTTGTAGGAAAAAAAAGACTCTTGAAAGGTCAGCTGAAAAGATTGTAAGTAGATATGTACCTTATAAGGTATATAAAATCTTTTCCAAAATCTCTGAAAACTCAGTACATCAAGGATAACAATTAACAGTCCTGACAGGACACAGAAAAACATTTTCCTGAATGAGAATTGGGGATTATTCACAGTGAATAACAAAATAAGAGGTTACCTTCTTTCAAAGCTTTAACAGCTAAGGTGTCAAGGGAACCTAAGATTCATTATGTTATAGAACCTATGACAGCAAGAGCCACAGCTAAAGAAAAATGCAAGATGAAAATTTGATTCTGACTAAAACAATCAGGACAAGAATAGCCTCCCCCCCCCAAAAAAGTCTGAAAGTCAAGAAGTTGAGAAGTAGGATGAGAAGAGAAAGATTACAATAAAAAAAAACTATTAACATTTAACTGGATTCTGAGTAGAGGATTAGCAATAACTCAAAATTTAGGAGAAAGTGGATGAAATTAAAACTTCAGGACCAGAAAAAAGGAGAAATCAGACCAACAAAGGCTTTTTCAGAACTATATCTAGCTGACATATCCCACTCTTCATACAATAAAGATGAACACGCCAAAGCAAAATTTATTTATTTTTTATTGCCATGAGAAAAAGGTGGATGTTTCACAAGTGAACATCTATATGAAAGTGAATCTTGGTGGATTACCAGCAGACAATATAGAAACAATGGCCTGAATTTGTTGATCAATAAGAGTTAACAATACACCCATAAGATCTCTTTTTATGTTAGAGGTAGACTATGTATGTAAGGCCCCCAAAAAAGTTCTAAAATTTTGATATTAGTAGAAACATTTGAAGCAGTAATTAACATTGGCTTTAGTATTTTGTGTGAGTGAAGGTAACATCATGGTTGTTAACAATAAAATATGGATTAGGGCAAAACTTACTACAATGCTGATACATGCATTATGTCAAGAACATTCAGATTTGAAAGTGATACAATTGTTGACATCTTGAGAGCAATTCAACAAAGAAAGGCTCTTAGTATTTCATTTACGTTCTTATTTCTTTCATTATTAAATAAAAATTTAGGCATGAGAGCACACTTGACAAAGATTACATAAATGCTGAATGTATTAAAAGGAATGACTACCAGATGCAAATTAAAATACAAGATCCCTAATTAGCACTCCTCCTGCCATGCCTCCCTTATGTACTTCTTTTTCAAGGCAGGCTACTTTTACTTGTTCCATTTTAACCTACCAGTGAGGTTATGAAAGTTTCTTTATTGATCATTGGATAATGATGATGACTATACAGGATGCTTGTCTGTCATTCATCGTTTACTCTGTCATTGTCGTTTGTTTGCCAACAAGGGTTAGTTTTCAGTTCATTTTTCTTCCCATGAACTTCATACATTTTCTGTTGACTTGTCCAGTTTTTGTTTTTTATTGCATTGGGCAAAAGATTTCTGATATCTATTCTATTGATGCTTCACATACTTTATCTCATGTACTGAGTCTTTCAGGGATTTTGAAAAAAAATTTATATATCTTGTATCACATCATGCTCCTCAGATCATGCTTCGGCTACAGGAACAAAATGGCTTGTGCAGTTGATCTATCTTGTGTATCATGATGTTTCCAACCACCTTAAAAGTGAATTTTGGGATCCATTTCTGCAGACTGGCATATGGACAAATCAGAATGTGTTCCTAAAAAGGTTTATTTACATCACATTTCTACCTATTCAGCTTCTGAAATTTGTTTTTATATGTTTGTGATTCTTCAAGCCAGATGGACCCTTATCATATATGTTCTTAATTTTCTGTCACCTGCTTAGTTTTCTTCTTTGTATGGAGTGTTAGGACAGCAGATTAGATTTGTATATTAAGGTCTAAGGTCCATCTGATGGCATTGAGTATCACCATGTGGATGTCACCAGTAATTTCCAAAAAGCTGTTTTTACAGCTTTTCTCTTTCTCTCTAGCTGACCAACCAGAAATTGGATGAGTAAGATTAGGAAGTATCTCTGCTCCACATGATAGGCATAGGGCAGCTAGCTTCACACAGCCATACACATGCTTTCAATACTGTCTGATAGAGAACATCTTTATTTTTGAGCTCATAAGAACTTTAAACAGTTTACTCCTACAAACTCACACACATACAGTATCTTTATACAATTTCAAAATTCTTGCTAGTTGGAACCTATCAGATTTTACATTTTTAATATCTATTTGAGGACACAGTGTGTGAAAGTTGTATATTTGTAGTATTAAAAAAATTTGAAGTACATGAAATACTGTTTAGTATGCAGTTGGTATTGGTTTTATATTAAATTGTCATGTATCATATTTTTTAAACTAAGGTGCATTTAGTTTTGGCTGGTTTCATTTTTTGGTTATTTCAGTGGTCACCTTCTTGTTCTCATGTTTTTCTATTACTTACAGGTATCATACACAAAATTTATTGTAATATACTATTGCTTAAACTACTGACCTTTAGATTGTGCTTTATATGCTTGTACCATAATAGATGACATTATAAATGCATTTTGACCATGTTTTGTGTGATTTGAAAAGCTCTAGCATTGAGTGAAAGGCTTCATTGGCAAGGGTGTGTGATCTAGATGTTATTCTTTTAATTGGAAACCCATAGGGCCATTAGACGGACAATGGCTAAAAATTATTATCAGTCTTATTGGAATGTAGTATCACAGTGATTTGTAGATCACACAGCATTATGCACCACAATAATTGATGAAACTTAACCTTACCAAGGTTGGCATCATATTCATATGAAGAAAATAATTTTCTTAAAGATGTTTTTTTTTACACCATCTGTTTATCTTTGCAAAGTTAATTCCATCTTTTAAAAATTCCCCCATATAGTTCATGTTTCTGGTTCTTAGAAATAGTAGTGCTCTCTTTACCCATCGATAGGTTTTATGATGATGTAAGAAATTTGTATATTATTGTTTGAATACATTATAAACATAAATTAAATAGGACTATAATATTAACAAAACTTGTCTCACAATATTTACATGATAAACTATTTAAATAATTAGAATTAAATTATGAGCACAGATATTGAAATATTGTTTATTCACATGGTTACAGGTTTCTATTGTACTTAAAAATTATTATATTTGTAGTTAGTTTTCCAGTGAAGTAGTAAAAATGGAGGAATAAAAAACTAGTAATCTCATAAATTATTACATATGCAGGGTGGCTATGAAGTATTACTCTAACTGTATTAAAAAAATAATTATAACAATGGCATTGTTATAAGATATAAATGTAAGAGAAGGCTCAGTATGCACCACAGATAACATAATGTTTAATACAGAAGGAACTTTATAAAACAACAACAACAAGATAACTGATATAGATTGTATGTTATGGCAGCAGAATTGGATGTAATGCAATAACTAAACAGTATAATAGAAAATGGTTTGTTTCAACAATTTAAAATAAGGCTTTCCATATCATACTGCGAGTCAATACAACACATTTCAAATGAGGTATTTTTTATAACGAAACCATATCAATAAGTAATAAACAAGTTATAAAAAAACAGAAAATTAAGCTTGATGTCCTAGCTGTAAGTATCAATAAGTAATAAACAAGTTATAAAAAAACAGAAAATTAAGCTTGATGTCCTAGCTGTAAGAAACTTTTTTACAGTCTACAAATAAACTTGAACTAATGTACATAACATATGCAATGGAATAAAATTTGTATTTAAATGGCATTTTAGATTTTAAAAACCTGAATTTTTATGTTTTAGTGTGGTAGGGTTGAGACTTAAGGTACAATTAAGAATGCTATGGAATAACTTTACTGTATTTATATACTAACTGTAGGATGTTTAATAATTAGTACAACAGTGGCTGTTGGTATAATATCAAGTATAACAATTACTATAGTGTAAAAAATTCTAACAGAACTTGAGTTGAAATAATTATCTATAACTGCTATCAAAGTCATTATCAATTTCAGAGCAGGGAGATGGATTATTAACATTTTGTTTCTGTTTACATCACGTTTGATTTGAATTTCGTGCAAAGCTACACGAGGGCTATCTGCGCTAGCCATCCCTAATTTAGCAGTGTAAAACAAGAGGGAAGGCAGCTAGTCATCACCACCCACCACCAACTCTTGGGCTACTCTTTTACCAACGAATAGTGGGATTGACTATCACATTATAATGCCCCCACAGCTGAAAGGGCGAGCATGTTTGGTGCGACGGGGATTTGAACCTGCGACCCTCAGATTGCAAGTCGAGCCCTCTAACCACCTGGCCATGGCGGTTTACATTAGGAAAAATATAGCTTTTTGTTAATAAATATACACGTAAACATACAACTTGAGAAATCAAAATGTTTATACATACGTAAATGTTACATTTGAGTGCTTTGCACTTGTAGATTTATCCAGATTTTTTTTATACTTAGTCTTAGAAGCCATGTTTGAAATTTTGAAATCTAGATTTTGTTTAAGAAAGATGACCAAGAAACAAAGTAAAAAACACAAACAAAAAAACATTAAACTTGTGTGAAATATGTGTAACATTACCCCCAAACTAGTCGATGTTTAAGAAGTTTTATTATATATATATATTGCGTTTAAGACTAATAACTTTTTATATAGTTTAAAAACTAAAATACAAATTAACTAAATTAAGACTATTTCTGTCTGGGATAACAATAAATAAAGTAAAATAAAACGAAATTAATTCTTAATGTGAAATGGTAAACTTAGACTCTGGTTATATTTTATCTAAAAAATTAAAAACTTAGTGTTCAAATAAACTAAGAAATAAAGCCTTATTTTAGAAATACTTGCAGTTAAAATTCGTGTTTAGAAGATTCAGATGTCTTATTTTAAATCAAACAATTTATTAAGCAATAGGCCTAGTGAGTACTTAATTTATTTTATTAGGCCTGCTAAAAATTTTCTGAAATAAAAATTCTAAAGTATCCCACTACTGAAGCACCACTGCACTTCACTCTTCAAAAATAAGTAGGATTACATGAAAAACATATAGACGTGTTCACATTTCATTTGAATTTTATAATTACAGTGAAGCTTTCATTTCAATTATTTTACTAAATCTTTTTCATAAGTTAGATATACACATAACTGTTTTTTTTATTAACACTTTTTATTAAAATAAAAACTGTTTTGGTAATATTCATCTCAAACCTTGATCACATTGTTTTTCAACAACATTGTGCATTTGTATGATAAAAAAGGAAACACACTTGACTTAGAAATTGGCCCTCAGTCATTTGTAACAGCTTTCAGGAACTATGGATATCGAAACTGCCTATGGACAGAAAAGTAGTGCTCAGAGAAATCTGTAATCTTCTCAATGCAAAGAAAGCTTAGAGGAAAACTGTTCAAAAGGAATCCCTTAACAAGTAAATCATGGTTATTGAAGCAATTATTTTAATTCTTAAATAATGCTATCAATAAATACAATAGCTATATAGTAAACCATAGGACATTCTTCTTTAAGCCTTTATAGAAGAGAAGAGTATCTAGCAGAGATGCAATATTTTAGTGAGGTCAACTGGAAGATAAAAAATAATTTTTAGAAACATCTAGCTGAAATTAAAATTTTAATCCAGAGAGAGCTTGATATACTAGCAAACACTTGCAAACTAATCTCAAAAACACGAAGAAGAAGAAACAGAGAAAACAAACAAAAAGAGAATATATTATTTCAACAAAACACTATATTACTTCAAGAAGTTCTGTAATGAGTAGATCTCAATGATAAAAGTAAAAAAGAACAATTAGAGAAAAATGAATTTAAGAAATAAAAATCTCTGCTGTGGTACCTCCTATAACAAAAATGAAGTAACAAGGTAATAACTCTGAGTTTGTTGCATGTCCAAATTAAAATTAATGTGCCTATATATTATCTACTAAATAGTAACCATAAAAGTTTTATGAAAATATGAATTGCATACTCCTTCCCTATGTGTTACCTATACAAAGGAAATTGTTGCTCAACAACCTTGAAAACATTATCACTGATGAAAAATGTTTTGTGGAACACTTACAATGTTTCCATGCAGCTCTTAACTAAATGTAATAAAAAATATCACAATTTAACATATTACAAACAACAATCACTCAAAATTTAATGTATGTGCCAAAGTGTTCATAATGAATTTAAAATAGCCAAAGTTTATTATTTATTTAAGCATTTTTGAGACTGTTTTTAATTTACTTCTATCATTAGAAAACTAACAAGAATTTTCAGTAATGAGCTTCATATCAGCAGGTTGACATATTATTCTTTAAAAGCTGAACAGTGCTTTTTGTGAGTGGCTTTTGACACCTGTACTTCTTCCTTATTTTTTGGACATGGTATTGTTTAGATTGTAGTTTTGTATCTTCCACACGAACCTATTACAAACTGATTAAGTTATGATTAGCCTGTTGTTTTCAGCAAGTGGTACCAACTTTCAAGCTGCATATGTGCAGCTTGAAAGGAGCATTGCTTTTGAGTAGTCAGCCTTTTCTTTACTCTGGATTTTGTTTTATTCTATCAGGATAAAAATGCTATTACTTTGAAGTAGTTATAGGCAAAAATCAGTTCACAGCTTTTTTATGTTATGGAATGAAAGTATTCATTCAAACTTATTAATTATTAGGCTAGTACCTATACTATAATATTAAACATTCAAATCATTTATAAGCTTTCAATATTTGTCTTACTATTTTATCCAGATTCCATTTCCAATGTGGTGTGGAACAACCTTAATCACTCCTGACAAAACATACGATTTTCCATTACCACCCACTGTTGGCATTTGCAATTTTATAAACAGTTCAGGATTAAGATATGAAGCTGAATGTGCAAGAGAGTGTTTACAGAAAGGTGAGGTAATTCATCTGTTTAAAACATAAGCAAAACCATGATTTCTACACACTTCTATTGTTATAAAAGATCTGTATACTGTACTTTCTAGAAAATGTATGTGACGTCATTACTAATGCTCCAAATGCATTTTCTTTTTGTATTGACATGTTAGATTAGTTGAAGATCTGTGTTCATTGTACACTAATAAGAATATTGTATATGGAATAAACTTTCATTACAGTATACAAGTACTTCATAAAGAACTAAATAAAAACTAAAAAAATATGGTTAAGACCTTATGTAATTCACTTATTGTACAACATTTACAATATTATTTCACTCTAAAGAAGTCCTAGGATAATATCTTACTAATTTTACAAAAATTATCACTTTAAAATTTTCAAAATAGTATTGTTGTAATAGTTTCTATGGTTGGGCTGATTCTTTTTGTGTTATGTGGTAAAAAAAATAATGCAAAGTTTACTTAATGAAACTGTAAACTAAAATCTTGATTTCAGTTAGATGCTTATAAAAGTTATTTTTAAGTCTTTGTGTTATGTCGAGTTTTTTGAAACATAAAATGATCCGTATTCTATCATAATTAACATCTATAGTTCTTCTGAGATATTGCATCTCTGCTAGATA